TTGTTTGTTTCCTATTGACATATTAGTCTGTAAAAACGATACAGTATGTGTTTGTCAACCTTTGGCACATTAGTTTGTATGAAGAAGTTGTATGTGTTTGTCAGCGTTTGACATTTAGGTTGTACAAGTGATCTTTCTATGTACCCAATTGACACTTTTGCTTGTACATTTTCGTACGATAACTGTTTGACACTTAAGCCTATAGGGAGATCTATCCTAACCTTATAATCTTTGTTTTTAACCCATTGATAAGTTTGCTTCTACGAACAAATTTTGTTTGTCATCTATCGGCACTTTATCCTGAATTATCTTTATTTGTCAAAAGAATTACCCAGTCTGTGCAATCTCTCTTTGGAAAACTTTGCTAAATATAGATTTAGGATCTGTATCAACAATTGACACTCCAGCCTTGTCTATTGTGTTTATTTTTCATAAATTTACANAACTTTGCTAAATATAGATTTAGGATCTGTATCAACAATTGACACTCCAGCCTTGTCTATTGTGTTTATTTTTCATAAATTTACACTCTGGTCTGTACGGCATGTGTTTGTACATGTACGCAATTATACCATTAGTCTTTACGATTTATATGTACGATCAGCTGTTGTCACCATCCACACTCTACACTGCACGATCAATGTTTTCTTACCAATTTGAGACAAGAGTCTATATAATCTGTTTTTGTCTCCAATCGACTCTAAATTCAGTGCGATCTTTGTGTTTGACATCAATTCACACTCTAGTCGTCTCGATTTTGTACACCTACTAACACATGGGTCATTAGGACTTGCTTCCTTTTATCACCAGAACAGGAAGTCATTTCGTAATAATGTCTCGTCATTTCTACGTTACTTATAAGCTCGCATTCGTACAGGGATGAGTTTGTTCATCACTTGTATCTCGTCTCCGCAATAATCAAAGCTTACTGTCTATTGTCAAGAGACACACTCTCTCACTATTGCTCTCAGACTGATGACCTAAGGGACATCTATTGTTTTATGATTCAATAATCCGTTTCTGCGCAGCAAATGTCCCGAAGTGGATATACAAATGTAACAGAAAAAGGAATATATAGAAGCAAATCTGGATTTTGATTTGATTAAGACTTTTTATATTTTATTTTAGGAAAACTTAAACCCCTAGAGTATACTGTTTATACGTTAGTCGTTCAAGCACAGGTAAACACAATGTTCAAATTATATTTTATGCATAACGAAGCATCTTATTACAAGCAGATATTAATGTACAACAGCAAGCCGATGGAAGCTGATGTTCCAACCAGGATCTACTTACATCAACATACACTATTTACATCTGTTTTTGGTACATGTAGTTTAGCACTATATTTAAACATATCAAGTCTATAACATAATCATTGGCAAATTATGTCTGTAGGCACAATGATCCATGTGGTTTATCACAACTGTATGAGTCTCTAAAATTGGACGTCTCCCGTCACTACGAGAGACATACGCACTACGTCACCGTCAATTAACAATAAAACTTCATCCGTTGCAAAGAATTCTGGGATCAGTTGTTACACATCGCTACTTCCGGTTGTTTTTCAGGTTTGGTGGCTAAGCAGCCCTTAACTTGAGCCAGGTTGACACCGATATGCCTCTAGTCAATCAAGAAAATATGAAAATAGCAGTATTAACAAAGCCATATACTGTCTTCCGTTTCACACAAAAGCGCACCGTCTGATTTATATTTGTGTAGAAACACAATCATACTGAGTTTTCCCATTAGACGACACCAGCGAGTACTCTGATTTTGGGCTTTGTGTAGAAGATTTTTTCACCAGTTTTTTACATTTTGTAATTCCAAATAATTTATTTACTTCCTTTCGGAAATGCGGACCTGTTATGTAGTAAATGTAGCCATATAAGGCATTGTTTGATAAACAAATCTCTTCCACAACTTTGCGAATTGTCAGGTACGTGAAGTATCTTTGCCAGACAGGATCTACGGCCATTTCCTGAAGAGTTGACGGGTACGTCCCATGGGGGAGCAGAGACTGCAAGGCGTATACAATGGACGCCGGAAGTAACGTACAGATGAAATAGAAAGACACGGACAGCAGTGTAATGGTTGAAGTGGTATTTCCGCCTCCTGCTTGTGGACTATTCACCGGAACTGTACCTGTAATACGCTTGATCTCACGGATAACACACACATTGAATACAAGCACACATACCGGGATGATGAAAAACAGCAGCATTTCCGTTACCATGGTCCACACTTTTTCGAATTTAATGATGTCATCGTGCGGAGCGAACTTACAACTCTGGTGTTCTTCAACGTAGACCCAGATGTAAGCCTGGACGGATGCCAGGCTGAGGGAGAAGGCCGTCAGACAGACAGATACTTTGATAGCGCGGGTCACCGTACAAAACTTTTCCTTCGAAAATGGGTGACACACTGCAATATAACGCTCCACCGTGAATGCCATGACGAATAAGGGCGTCAGGTACTGTGGCATGATCAATAGAACGTTGAATAGGGCACAAATGACCGGTTTATTGTACGTTGGTGTGTCCCAAGCATAGTTCAACTCCATAATGAAGTGAAGAAACAAGAATATTGTATGCACAATTGCAAGTGTTCCAAGGTAGATGGCAGAAGAATTGTTCTTTCGCATGCGTCGACTTAGCCATATGTACGCGGATATAGGGTTGCCTATGAGTCCAACCACGTACCAAATGGGGGAGATGACCCTGTCTACGAGAATGACCGCCGGGGCAAACGTCTGAAGGATCTCGGAGACGGTTGGGGGGAGACCCGCTCCCTGGGTCATGTTGAGGTTTAAGGTCACGTTCTCGTACATACTGGTATTCTGCATGATCCTGTGAATACACAAAAACGTAGAATAATGAATAACATTCAAAATATAATTTATAGTACCCTTGCATCTGATTCCGTCCAAAATTAGACGAAGACTATCTCTAGAGGTGATTTCATGTTGTATACATTATTCTTACATCAATGCAACTTACCAACTTAACTACAATATACTGTTATAGTAATGTTTGAAGATTCCTGAACTCTCTTTGTAAAACAATAATATCCAATTCATCCCGTCAGAGACGCAAGCTGCACTGTATACTATATATATGTCTGCATAAACGTATATACGATTGCAGCATAATTGACATTGTAATACGCAAACAATACTATGAGATTGATTGGAAACATCCATGAGCGTTGTTTCAACAGATACCTGTCAATTAGTGAAGTAATATATAGTTTATAGCTATATATGATTACACTGTATTCGGACTTCAAGGATCCCCGGCTACCTGTACGTACTGTATCTGCGTCACGACAAGTGGACAAATGTATACATGCACAAACAAACAGCTAATTGAATGTTGATACATGCGCATTTTAAACGTAGATCATTAATATCAAGTGACAATGTTTGTTATTTATGACAAAATTATCTCATTGTAAATGAAATAGTTTTGACATGAAGCTTGAAGTTTTGAATAAAATCTAAACTGCAAGATTGATTTATGGGATTCAAATAATTGACATTTAGCCTAAAACATTTAACCGATTTAGCGCTGGATAAAAAATACAACATTTGGGTGTATTCTGAAATGGCCGCGTTCGATTTAATGATACATACATTTCAATAATGTTGCGTTGACAATAATCTAACAATTAAAGTATCGCTGTCAAATAGACAGTTACTTTTTTGACGAAGGATGTACATCATTAATAGTAAAAACATGAGATACAAAATGTACTGAAAACGTGATATGAAGGTTCTTCTCTTTATCGTTTGGGGTTTAACGTCCTCGCAAAAGTCAGAGTCAAATGCAGACGTGTATCTAGGGAGACACCAACGGAAAGCGAGAGCAGATATAGCAAAGCAGGTAGGTAAGTTAGGAAGAGGAAAATAGCACAAGTGTTACAATGCGCAGTAGATCAAGTTTGGTCTGTTTAATGTACCCCATGTACATTGTAAAAGACACGAAAGAAACAAAAACGGTTCTGCAGGGAGCCACATAATTCTTACAGTGCAATACACGTTGGTTTTGGTTTGGTTTGGTTTAGTATTGTTTAACGTCCTATCAACAGCTATGGTCATTTAAGGACGGCCTCCCTGGTGTGCAAGATGCATGCGTGTAGTATATGCGCGTGTTTTGGGAGGCTGCGATATGTTCGTGTTTGTCTCCTTGTGATAGCGCAGATAATGATGCCGACATTTTAGTGCTAACTCACTGAAACATACTGCCGAAGACACCTAGCAGGACACCCCACCCGGTCACATTATACTGACAACGGGCAAACCAGTCGTCCTATCCTAGCAGGAGTAGAAACTACCATTTTTTAGACTCTAATATGTCTCGGCCAGGGAACAGAACCCATAGTCTTCCTCACAGGGTTGAACGCTTAACTAAAGGCCAACGGTAAGGCATTGTCAATGGACACATTAGGAAGAAGAGAGTGGTTCAGAAAGAAGAGAAAAAATCCCAAATTTAGTCGCCTCGTACGATCATGCAATTAGGCAGCAGGTACAATTCGTACGCCCTACCTGCAGGAACTAACAATGCACGTACTTTTGGGATACCGAAGGTCTGTTCTTAGTTTCTACTCCGATGACAATGAGTTAGACGCGAATCAGTAATGTTAGGGACCTATGTTACATGTACATTTGTACTGACGGAGCAACATAACAGTAGCTTACCGAGGAAGGGAAATGATTGTGAGAGAGAATCATTAACTTACAACTGAGTGTTTACGAATATTTGTATATACTGTTGAATTTTCCCGGTTGTGAGTTTAAATAGAGGTTTTATTAACGAAAACAACAGGAACACAAATATACAGCATATACAGATGTATCTACCACGTCTGTGACGTAATAACACTCTCCATTGGCTAATAATTGGAGTCAAGAAAGCATGGCACCAATTCCTGGTGAAATAGTACTTTTATCACGTAATAAATGTTAGTGCAATCAAAAGAACGGCCTTATATAACTTATTTGATTGCCCAGGTCATGTCGCCTTATATGCACCAACAGGCAGACACCAAATCGAATTTCATTCTATTATGGCGCGCTAGAATAGATGTAATCAAGTTTGTATTATATGGTGAAACCAAGACAGTAATTCGTTATGCGAATTTTTTTTGGTAAATATTCAATTTAGGCAGAAGCTGTCTTCGTGAATTTAATTTCCCGACATTTCCTCAACCTCGTGATATCTTCGACAATACAAAAAATATTCCTGAACTGTGTACATTAGCAACCGACTTTCTTTGCGGAGGTAAGCAAAGGAACCATCGACTATCATAATTATTATGTCATAGATGAATAATACAATGTGTATTTGGAACCGTCTTTGAACATTATATGTTTGGACATAAACTCTTGTACTATCAACCCCAAACAGTTATAAGTAGTTTGGCAACATTAACTATTTCAAACCGTACATCATTCATAAAATAAGAATATGAACCAGGCGTTGATGTCTGTCAACACAACAAACCAATCCACATAGTCTAAATGTTATTATTGTTTTTTAGATCAATATTTACATGATCATAAACCATTATTGTACTGTTGCCCGGCCGGGGAATCATACTCCATAACGCCCGGTATATGAACCAGTGTCTGACACAACCTACATCAGACCATCTGTCCCAACTGACCGCTCATTTGCATAATACATGGTTAACGACACCCACTCCAGATCTAGTGCGTACGTTTAAAACGTACGCAGTGATGGCCATGTAGTACGCATTATCTAATACAGTAACATGACTCTTTTGTTCTAAGGTATGCTTTCAACTTGTACACACATATATCGTAAAATAAGTTCAATGAATTTGTACGGTAGATATCGCTTAAGATTGAATCAGGGAAGATTTGGATTTTTTTTATAAGTTGAGGCTCTTAAATAAGTTACAAATTCATGTTTGAAAATAGACAGTATTGGTTAAAAAATAATAGTAAAAAATTGAGATGGAAGATCCTTGACACTTTTCATTATAAAACAGAACATTGCACTCTAATAAACAATGCATCTGCAATTAATCCGATTTGTCTTACTTACATGTATTTTTACTGTCATATATCAGTTCTCCAGCGTTTACATATTTTATGTAGATGTGTATGTAAACTGTACAGCGTACCATAATAATATTAATATTACATCGCAATATTTTCTATATATAGCCAGACAAACGCCCTGCGAACCAGAAGTCATGGCCATAGGGCGATGGTAAATTATAAACTGGATTCAACTTAGAACGAAAATAGATAAAAGGTGGTGGTACTAGAGGGAACCCGTTCATGATGTTAGAATCATCATAATATTGATTGCTTAATGCAAACAAACAAACAACAAACAAAACAAAAACAGACAGACATACTAAGCCAACTTCCGGTGCTTCATCAACCGTCATCCTAGCCCCAGGCAGTAGGGAAACAACACCAGATAAAGATACACGTAAATATCCTAATTACTAACTATCCGAGTTTCACACAAAGCATGTTAAACCTTCAAACTGATAACCTCATTATATCCTACATGTATAGTGATGAGAAACATGAAGGGCAAAGAAACAACTTTGAGTCGGTCTTTCATTGTAGTGTGCTAATCAAATACGTTGATTATTTTGCAATTCGTTCACATAAGACAGTCATAAATACTGGAGACACCGAGGGGTATAAATCAATGTAAAAAGTTACAATGTAGCATGGCTTTGTAAGGATGTCTGGGAATTAAAGATATTTGCGGCAGACAGGCGCCATTCGAACCGGAAGTCGTGACTGTAGGGCGATTTTAAAGTTTAAATAGAGTTCCAATAATCACCACCTTTCCAGTTGGATGGTATGAGTCTCAAATACCTCGTAAAACGATCCAACCACAGGCGTCAAACTAGACAAGAAAAACTAAGGCGGCTGAATCATACAAAGATGAGGACTTAGTCTCCAAAATGTCACAGCATAGAGCACGACAGAGTACCGAGCAACAACGGTCCTGGATGGATTTAAAAAGAATCGTGTAAAGTCAAGATCTGTACCGGGGTGTGATATTTCTCTAAAAAAATCTTATTCTGAGACAACAGGGAAGTAAACATTTCCCTAGTTTTGTTTAATACATGGGACAACGGAATAGGAATCAAATTGAATCTTGTTTCTTATATCAGGCAACGGGGAAGGAGCAACCTATTATTTTTCTTATAAATCTGACAATATATCTATTAGATCTATAAGACATTGAGAAGGGCGTCTCTAAATCTCGTTATATATTGACCGGATAATGAGCCGATGAGGAATAGAGCAACTAAGTTCAACTAACTAACTAAAAAAATATCGCGTTGGCGATTGTTCTTAATTTATAAATTCATTATATCCATAGTCTATATAATCTTTAAATAAATATTCGTGTGTGGATTTTTTTCGCGCCTATTTACTTAACGCAAATAACTCGAGATTTTCCACACCGCGGAAATTTCTACTTTTCCAGTACATACATGTAGCTGAAAACGGGAAAGAAACGTCTATTTTCTGGTATATCAGACAACGGAAAATGGAGCAACAAAACATAATCCAATACTTTCGATACCGGTAGGGAAATAGGTTTGGCAAATTGTACCTGTGTCTACAAGCATCTATGTCTTCAGTACGTATACGTGTTCTTATATTGGCCAAACAATTTGTCAACATTTCTAACAAATTGATCTAGAATCCTTCAACTACATGACATGTACCATTCAAGTGTCCAGTAAGAAACGAACACCGCGTTCAGACTTCAGTGAGATTGTATTGAAGAGTTTATGTGACCCATAGAATTTAATTATTTTTTGGAAACGTTTTATATTACTT